TGGATAATTTGGAGTACAAAGTTTCTCTCTGTGTAAGGTATCTGCTGTCTCTTGTAGAGGATGCTTCAGAGGTATGATGTGTGGGGCAGAGTGATTCCTATTAAATCTGTGGTCAGCTTTACCTATGGCTTGTGACTAGTGGGGATAAGTGTTAAAAATCCACATATATTTTTCTCTTTTCAAACACTATATTTTCCCCACAAGGTTATCTTGGGGAGAAAGATGGAACAGTTAAGAGTCCAGATGGCCTGTCAGTGTGTTCATGTATACTTGCCCATTCATTAACTTGTTAAAAATACTTTTGAGTGGTTATTGTATGCCATGTCCTTTGCAAAACTCTGGGGCCCTGCCAATTCACAAAGGCAAGGAATTGTACTCAAGAAAGCTAAAAGGTGATTGGAAGAAAATATGCATAAATAGACAATTATAATAGTGTACAGACAGTCTGCAGCTGTACTTGCAGGTAAGGTTCAATGGACATTAACCCTATCCTGGGAATTCAGGAAACAGAAACACACTGTCAAGTTTATGAGCTCTACAGAACTGATAAGCAGGTAGGGTACTAGCTCAGGGTAGAAGTGAAAGGACTTTGGAACAGAATCTTCTAAGGTTTTGGCTATTGTTTCTGTCTGTTTTGGGTTTTAAGGCAGGGTCGATTAAAAGCACTGCCTACTCTTCCAAAGGTCCTGAGTTCAATTCTCAGTAACCACATGGTGGCTCATAATCATCTGTAATGAGATCTGGTACCCTCTGGAGGAAGAGACCTGGTCAGTCATCCTCATCAACTTAAACCATGAAACCAATACTGACAAGTTCAACAGAATTACCATATATGGGCTGCTAATGCATGCTTCATCATTGCCAGGACAAAAATTTCAATTCAAAATTTCTTCTTATATTGCTGAGGCTGGTCTTGAACTTGATGTCCTGATGTCTCAGCCTCCAGATTACTGGCATTGAGCATAGTTGCCACCACAGCCAGCTGAGTGCTGGTGTCAGAGTTCTGTGTAATAGGAGTATCCAAGTGAGCAGGAGACAAGCTCCTGGTCTTCGTGTATGTGCACAGAAGAGGGTGCTGACTCACAGAATGTAAACAACGATAAAAAGTGAGTAAACTATTTAATGTGCTAGATAATAAACTGGAGAAGATTGGACGAGGTAGTGAGTCAAAGATCGAATGACTGACATGGCCTCTCTGAAAATGTGCGGAACATGCTGGGACTTTCTGTGAGGTTAGATTACAGAAGCAATGCTTGGTTGAGCTGCTGGGAATCCCCTAGCCAACATCCGCCCTGACATTGACCTCACCCACTCTTTCCTTCTTACCCCATGCTGTTGCCTTTTTAATTTGAGGGGACAAGATTTTGTACCTTCAATAAATCTCTCACTCCACAACAGATTTGAATTCCTCACTGAGAACGAATCTGTCTGAACAAAAACAGTTTCTTGAACACACCCATAGTAGCTGGAAAGTTTGGTTTGGAGCCTTCAGAACTTAAATACTTTAGGTTTCCTTTTGTCTGCCCATACTTTACATGAAACCGAAGGTTGAGTCAAGTGCTTACTTCTTACCGCATTCACCTTCTCGCTCACCCACCCCTGTCTTTATGGGGTAGAACCTTGTGGAAACCATGTAACTAGTCATGGGATCTAGGGGATCATTAACCACTTGGTGTGGAGACAGAGATGCCTAAAGTACTGAATTCATGAACCAGTTCGATTAAGTTTTTTTTATTAATTTCTTCTCTCATATATTATATCTCAGTTGCAGTTTTTCATCTTCTCTTTTCTAGCCCTGCCCCCATTCACTCCTCTTCTATTTCCCTTCAGAAAAAGGCAGGCCTCCCAGGGATATCAACCAAACATGGTAAATCAAGTTACAATAAAACTACGCATTTTCCATCATATCAAGACTGGAAGAGGCAATCCACTAGGAGTAAAGGGGTCCCAAAAGCAGGAAACAGAGTCAGAGATATTGCATGCTCCCACAATTAGGAGACCCACAAGAAGACCAAGCTACACAACTATAGCATATATGTATAGAGCCTCGATTAGAGCCAAGAAGTTTCCATGATGTTTGGTTCAGTTTCAGTGGACTGCTATGAGTCCAGGTTTGTTGATTCTGTGTGGTTTCTTGTGGCAACCTTGATCCTTCTGGCTCCTACAATCCTTCTTCCCTCTTCCTCCACCCTTCCACAAAATTAACTGAGCTCAGCCTAACATTTGGTTGTGGGATTCTGCACATCTGTTCCCATCAGTTTATGAATGAAGCCTCACTGGTGATCATTCTGACAGGCTACTGTTTCTGAGTATAGCAAAGTATCATTAGTACGATTTTTTTTTTTGCTAGCCTGTTTGGTTCGATCCTAGGTCTCTGAGCTGTCTGGTCTCTGGTTCCTGGCCCTCCAGGCAGTATCTGTGGTGGGCTCCTTCTTGTGGCATGGGTCTCTAGTTGTATCAATCTTTGGTTGGCCACTCCCACAATCTGTGCCATCAGGTTAGTTCTTTCTTTATGCAACATTCCATTTAAAATATCATAATATCTCTGAGAAGTACTAGTTTAGAAAAATAGACCTTTATCTGCAGACTTTAACTCTTCTGAAAACTGAATTATGATGTTCTCAAAGCATTCATTACTTATTTAAGACCTTTCTACTTTTCTATGAAACACCTTGAATTTTGTACTCCAGATACAGCCATTTAATCAAGATGACTATGGTTAAGCACCATAGGTTTTGTTAGCTTGAATAATAAATGTTGATTTTTATCTAACTTGTAAAACGAGGTGCTCAATATTTAGCAAAATGATGTTGGTAATAGGCTTCCTACTGGTGAAGCTGGTGACTAATGTAAATGGTAAGGCATGCTTAACCCTGAGTCATATAAAACAAGCATTAAGGTTAAATTAATTTTACCAGCCTACATTTTACTCTCACTCTTAGGTAGAGGAAAGGGTGCATATGCTTGAAAGTATGCTAAAATAAAAATGTATGCCTATATATGCTGACAGTATGCGAAGAATTTTCATATTAGCACTGTATATGACAACCTGAAAATAAAATTCATTTCAATGTCAATCTATAATGGAATATATGAATAATTTGCTGGGTGGTGGTGGTGTGTGCCTTTATTCCCAACATTTGAGAGACAGAGGCTGGCGGATCTCTATAATTCTGAGGCCAGCCTGAGCAACAGAGCACGTTCCAGGACAGGACAGCCAGGATTACACAGAGAAGCACTGTCTTGAAAAACCAAAATAAAATAAAATAAAATAAATAAAAAGAATATGTGCATAATTTTATTTTTTCATAGTGAAATATTGGGTGATTATGCAAATGACCAAACTATGGCCATACACAGCAAAATGACTGCATTTCACCAGCATAAAATTGAAATAAAACTCAAACGTCACAGAATACATGTTACATTTCTCAATTTAAATATTTTGTAAAATTAATGGTGATATATCTTTCATGTAAAACACTTAAAGGAATTGAAAACACACATAATTAAATAAGACATTAATCTTTGAAACTACGAACTGTATACAAAATATATGACTCCCCTTGTAAATATACACTGACATGTTTCTAGCATGGAAGGTGAGGTTGAGATTTCAATAAGAAAGAAGTGGGATAATTGCATAGACATAATTAATGGAGTCTTGTCTTAAAAGAAAAGGGAATGCATGGAATGCTGATGTGGGAATTCCATAAGTATGCTGTGAATATGTTTTATTGCCATTGGTTAATAAAGAAGCTGCTTTTGGCCAATGGCTTAACAGAATATAGCCAGGCTGGAAAAGATATATAGAGAGAGTAGACAAGAGTCAGAGAAGACACCATGTCACCACTGCAGGAAACAGATGCTGGATGTGAGACAGAACCTTACCTGTAGACCACAACCACGTGGAGATACAGAGATTAATAGAAATGGTTTAATTTAAGATGTAAGAGATAGCTAAGAATATGCTAGAATCATTGGCCAAGCAGTGTTGCAATTAATAGAGTTTCAGTGTGATTACTTTGGGTCTGGGAAACCAGGAAATGAACAAACAGCCTCTGTCTACAGGAAGCAGAAGCAATAGTTCAGCTGTTCCTCACAAGGAAGCTGCTTATAAACTCCAGACCTAAAGAAAGAAGCAAAGCAGCTACCAAAACCCAGGGGAGTGTGGTTTCCTGGGGAGGAGTTTAGATGAGAGATACAGCTTTATATCCATAATCACAGGGAGGAAAAGTGGGACATTGTGTAACCAGCTCCCTCTCTCCAGGCTTTTGCTAGGTCTCTTCAGTAGGCACCCAACTGGAAGGCAGTGGTTCTACTAATGTGATCCAGGTAGATTAGCACATCAGACAGAAGGCAGGAGCATAGGACTAGGGTGTGGCTGTAGGGAATTCTGGAACATTTTTATGTGTTTCCTTATTGTTTTAATGTTACAATAATATGAGAAATGCTTTAACACTGGAAAAACTATGTTAATGTGTGCTAAGGAATGTATGTATATATTTTCTTTTAAAATAAGCATTTAAAAGTATGTGAGAGAGAAAGAGGTAGAGGAAGAGTAGACTTTGTACAGAATGTATGAAACATAAGTGTGCAGGTACAGATTTTTTTTGTGTGTATGTATGTGCCTGAGGATATACATGTTGAATATGAATATGAGACATGTGGCATAATATGCCTGTGAGTCTATGTGAAAGTATCCAAGTAGATTTGATAGTATACCCATGTGTATATATGTGATTATGCATATGAAAAAAATGTGTTTGAATAGGTGAATATATTAGTGGTATGTTGCTTACAGTATTCAGATACTCATGATGTACAAAAATAGGTGTAAGAAGGTAAAGTAAATCATATGTTAGAGAGTGAGATTTTGAGAGGGGTTAAAAAATTGTGCTTGTTATTGTTTATTTTTTACTCTTTTGGCTCTTTGGGAGGTTCTGTCACCCAACTTCCAAATAAATACATGGAGATTTATTTTTCCTTATGAATGCCTAGTCGTAGCTTGGCTTGTTTCTAGCCAGCTTTTCTTAACTTAAATTACCCTGTCTACCTTTAGCCTCCAAACATTTATCTTTCCTAGTCTATATACCTTTCTTTACTCCTTTCTTTGTGGTTTGCTGTGTAGCTGAGTGGCTGGTCTCTGGCATCCTCCTCTTCTTCTTTCATTCACTTGTCTTTCTACTCTTCTTCTCTTCCTATTTGTTGTCTCTGCCTGCCAGTCCACCTCTACTTTCTCCTACTTATTGGCCATTTAGCTTTTTATTAGACCATTAGGGGTTTTAGGAAGGCAAAGTACCACAGCTTCACAGAGTTAAACAAATGTAACATAAAAGTGGCAGGATAAAACAAGCATTAAATCTTTCTGCAATTAGAAAGGCACTAAATATTTTACTTTGTTCTCTTTAGTCAAAAACATAAGCAAATATGCATTGTCCTTTTGGATGCTGTGTAAAAGTATTTCTTGACTAATAACATGTGACAGTCAATTGTGACTGTCTTAGAGAAGTTCTCATTATGCTTGCTGCCTGTGTAGCTTTCTTTCTGAGAATTTCTCTTCTTTTTTAACCCCCATGTTGATGCCTATATTAAAACATCTTTAGTTAATGCTACCTCTGCCTAATGCTGACTAGTTATAAACTTCTTTTCTGTTTTGAAGCCACTAACCCCAGTTTGACCTGAGTTCAGGTCCCTAATAAAGAGAACATCTCAGCCTGTAGTATTGTGCCTCCTCGCTGACCTAAACCCCGAAGTTTATGTAATAAGATTTCTCTTAATTGTGTAATAAACAACCTCTATAAGGAATTGAAAGAGATTTTGGGTTACTGTACACAACTTCATTTTTTTTTCTGTATTGCTTCATTTCCCTGATAATGAGTATGAAAAGTCACCAATTCCAAGCAATCTTGTTATGAAAGAGCTTTTGGCAGAAAGAGGCTGAAGTGTTTTATACTACTAACTTATTTTAAGAGTTTCAGTGTCCTAAATTTGACATGTTTCTGCCTATCATTGGTACCTATTATTTCACATTATCACATGTGGGCTTCTGTCATCATGTAAATGGAATTGATTGCCTGGAGTCACGAACAACTAGTTTAATTTTATATAACAATTTTTAAAAGCCATTCTCTAGATCATATATTTACTTCACACTTAGTAAACAACCTTATCTATTAAACTTCAAACTGGTTGTGGTGATTTGCAAGTGAATGGCCCCCAAAGTTTTTGGCATTTTTAGGAAGTATGGTCTTGGAGTACACGTAGGCTTGCTGGAGGAAATATGTCACCATGAAGGCAGACTTTTGAGATTTTATATATGTTCAAGCCATGCCCAGGGTCTCAATCCATTTCCTGTTTCCATTGACCTGTAAGTCAAAATGTTGAACCCCCAGCTATTTCTCCTGTATCATCATGATACAGGAGATACTGCTTGCACACCATCAAGTTGCATCGTGATGATAATGGACTAAACTTCTGAAAAAGTGAGCCAATCCATTTAAATGTTTTCCTTTATAAGAATTCCCATGCTCATGGTGTCTCTTCACAGAAACAGAAACCCTAACTAAGACACTGGGAAAACTCTGCTGCAAATGCCTGTAAGCTTAGCTGAACCCCTGGTGCTATTGGTTTCAGAAAACCCGTCAGTCATCATTGAAGGTGCAGACGCCCAGAGATGCCTTTAGTTGTTTGAGGAGTCTCCTTTGTTTCCTCCAATCACTTCAATATCAAGTCAACTCACTTCAAACTGTCTTAGTAACTGGAAAAAGTTAACACCCAGTCTTTAAAATCCATGAGTCATTTTCTAGGATAAAAGAAGAATCAACACACCTTTAGTCGGCAGCCACATCCAACCAGGGCTGACGTTCCGTGAACACCTTATGCTCCCACTTGAACTTGAGCTCTTCTGCAAGATCACCCCGGCCTAGCTTGCGGAGATGGCGAGCCAGGAGGCGAATTTTGTCCATGGAAGTCGGGAGTGAACGTTTCCAGAAGCAAAGCAGGTCGTGGATCTGCTCTGTCAGATCATCTGGGTGCTTGAGTTTGATGAGCTGAACTGTGCTGCGGCGCAGAGGAAGGGATGCGGTGAGGATCTCAACACCTTCTTCCGAGAGCTCCTCTGCCAACCAGTGAAGTAAATTATCCCAAAGAGCCTCTGTCAGGACACGTGTAAGGTTAGGTGAGGATAGTGAGGTTAGGATTCTTGTTTAGTCACTTTCTGATCTAACGCTCCTCACCAGGTCATGTGAAATCTATCTGCTTTCAGGTCTAGCCTCTGAGAAAGGAAACTATGGGACAATCAAGGTAGAATGCCTAATGTCTGCCAGTAATAAGGTCATCTGAGGGTACCAGCTACTGCAGAGGCTTAGCAATGCTAGCAGCCCTAGGAAGCAGAAGAGCTTGTTAAAATGATTTTTATGCTCCATCCATATAATGATTGAGCAGTAAATACTAGGGTAAGACGGGCATATGGTGTTTTTAATGAGCTCTTAGTAGATGCTGATGCTGGAGTCCAGACCACTGCTTGAATAGTACTGTGTTGGAGGATGTTCTCCAGGTACAAGCAGATATTTTTTATTAGTACTAATATGATGAATAACTACATCAGCTATTTTCACAGGGATATGACTACACATATATGCACAAAAGCCAGAGTACCCGGAATGCATTTCTATGGAAGGTCCTCTAACAGAAATGTCCAATGACCTCTGCACAATATAGACCTGCAAACATCTTGAGTAGATTTAGTATGATCAACACAGCTCTGACCAAGTCTGGAAAATTGGTCGTCTCTTGCATTTCTGATTCCATTTTGCAGTCATTACTTATTTGTTGTGGTGTGTAATTTAGACCACCTGTCTGTGTAAGGCCCCCATGCCCTACTCTCTTCTATCACAGCCACTTTTCTCCTGGCTTGCATTCACTCTCACCTTCGACTACCTGCATGAACTACTGAATGCACTTTCCTGTGAAGATTACTTAGGAAAAGGGGCAGATACAACCTGGTTAGGTTCCAAACAGTGTTCTCCTAGCAGCAGGCAAAGCACACATTTTGATGTTCATTGCACTTCATAGCTTTTCCTCTCTCCGTGTCTTTCCCTCCTTCTTCTGAAATTAGCAGGCAGCTTCATCACCAGTCTCGCCAATAACTGTTAACTCCCCTAACCACAATCCCTTTGTCCTGTCTTGTGTTTCCAAAACAAATAGAACCCAGGCTTCACACTTCATTTTCTTTCTCTCCTTTTCTTTTTTTTCCTTTTCTTTTCTTCTCTTCTTTCCTCTCTTCCTTCCTTTCTTTTGCAATGCTAAAGATCAAGACCAGGAGTTTTGCTCCATGGTCAATAGTTTCTCCACCACATCGTAGACTGTAATTCTACCACTGAGCTACATCCATCCACAGCCTGAAAAATGTTGTGCCTCATAGTCAATGAGATTGCTTCCTCCTATGTGGTCTAAGTTTCTCAACATTACTACTTTCCTTACACCCTAGATTTCCACAGCTCCAGTTCCTCTGCTCCTGGGTAGTAAACACGTCCCTCCATCACTAGTAGCTATCTGCCATTTTCTCACCCACCCATGCAAAGTCCTTCCTGCCTTATCCCAGTGCTGCTCTAAAGGCTCACCTCTCTATATCTATGATGGTCTTAGAATCAACTTAAAATGTCTTTCCTCTTTCTCTTCATTGTTTCCTGGTTCTTAACCTTAATCCTGCTTTCTTAACATTTTCCAAACTACTTGGGCTTCCCTGAGTCATGAAAAATATATTGAATGCAACCAGCTATGCTACTTTGTCTCAAGCATATTATCTGAGATATTGACAAGTGCACTTAGAAATCTTATTGTTCTAAAGTCAATTTAAAATTTTCTATCCCAATGGCCAGCAAATTCTTTCTTCTGTCCTAAGCCCACTCAAACTGTCCTAGAGACATTTGGTTACTACTTACAGCCACTGGCTCTTTTTTTTTTTTCTTTTTCTTTTTCTTTTTTTTCGAGACAGGGTTTCTCTGTGGTTTTGGAGCCTGTCCTGGAACTAGCTCTTGTAAACCAGGCTGGTCTCGAACTCACAGAGATCCACCTGCCTCTGCCTCCCGAGTGCTAGGATTAAAGGCCTGCGCCACCACTGCCCGGCTCAGCCACTGGCTCTTGGTTTACATCTTCTGTGACACCCATTGACTACATTATTATTATTATTATTATTATTATTATTATTATTATTATTATTATTATTTTATGCAGAAGCAGTATTTCATGGCTTCCTTCTTTTCTCTCTTTCCTCAGTTCACTCACTTCCCCAGTGTAACTCATTGTAACCTTCCTGTGTCATTTCATTTGAATTTTTTAAAGAGCATATTTTTTCTAAATCTAATTTTTATTCAATATTTGTGTATGTGTTTATGGTTTACATATGAAAATGTGGATGTACATATGACATAGTGTTTATTTGTAGGTTAGAAGATAACTGGAATTTGGAGTCAGTTCTCTCTCTCTCTCGCTGTGGAGTGCAGTGATTGAACTTGGGTCTTTAGGCTTATATGGAGAGCACTCTACCTGCCAAGCCAACTTGCCAATCCCAGATATTCAATTTCTTATGTCTCTCCCAATGAATTCATATAATCTTACTTACTTACCTCTCTCTTACAGGTAACATACCTCAGTCTACTATAGATTCATCTTCAGCTTTGTTTTTTTCTTGAACATACTCTAGAACTGAAATATTTGCCTCTTTGTGAGTGATGAACCTATCTGTATGGCTATAGGACAGACAACTGAGATACCATATTTATAAATCTGAAACTATCAACCTTTGGCCTTTTCTTATTTCCAGCTGCCTGGGTCTTGATTTCTTTGTTTGCTTCTTTGATTTTTTTATTGGGGTAGTTTGGCTGAGTAAGCTTAAACACTGCTATTATTCAAATTTCTCAAAGCCCATGTCACATACTCTTATGTCTAAACACTCTCTCAACTTTACAGATTTCAAGTATTCTGATTTCCGGCCATAGTGACACTCTATTAATCATTCTTTCTGTAGTTGGGATCTTACATATTTTACTTAAAAGACCCATGTTTCTTAGCCAGTGGTGTTATTTGGAGATGGAGGTTGAGCCTTTGGAGGTTGAGCCTGGTGAGAAGAAGTTAGGTCATTAGGCTTTTATTTTTGTGGGAGTACTATGACCCTGAGGTCTTTCTGTTTCTCTCCATTTTTTTTCCTGATGGGATGAGATGAACAAAACTCCTCTGCCATATCCTTCCACTACAGTCTACTCTACTGCCAGAAGTCATGGTGAAACTGAATCAAAACAAGCTTTTCTCATTTTAAATATTTTTGACATTTATTTGTTTTGTTTCACATGTGTTCGTGTTTTGACTGTGTGTATGGCATACCATGTGCATGCAGTACTAACACGGGCCAAAAGAGGTCATCATATTCCCTGTACTGGAGTTACAGATAGTTGTTAGCCACCATGTGGGTACTGGGAATCAAATGAGTTCCTTTGCATAAGCAACAAGTACTCTTAACCATTGAGCCATTTCTCTAGGCCCCTTTCCCATTTTAAAATTGATTTCCTCAGTTATTCTGTCACAGTATTGGAAGACTGACCCCTACAAAGTTCTATCTTCTTGCTGAAAGGAATTAAAGTTCTCATCCATATTCTTGCTATTAATTTTGGCTTGCTTTTGAATTTGACACAGCTAATAAAAATTTGAGACTTGATCTGATCTTGTTAATCACATTATATAAATCTATTGAAAGGCAGTCCTATTGTCTAAGCTTTTTAATTTGAGTATTTTAAGCACTTAATTATTTCTTTGTTGTGCAGGAAAGCTCACTGTGCACTGTGGATGGGACAGAGTGCCGAATATTCTTCCCACAAGGTGGCCTTCTAGGAAGAATCGCATAAACTATGATAAGTGAATGCACTGGAAAGCAAGGTCATGGAGGGAATGCGCTGGTCTGTTCTCATTAACCCCATGACATGGCCAAGATGATAAGGCATAACACCAGGTGTATGCACTTGTATTTGCTTAATCTACCTGTAAACATCACCCCATCCTTTGTTTTCCTTAATAAAAGTGAGAACTGTTTTGTTTGCAATACTCTTTTAGAACTCTGAAGCCTGGAGTCCCCTAGTTTGTCTCCATTCAGATCTTTAGAATATATCGTTTGTCTTTCAGACATAGCCTTGTTGGTCATGGGGCAGGTCAACAACACAAGTCTAATCCCATCTATGATCATCCTTCCATCTGAAGCTTTGATGCTACCTGGAACTTCCTAATACACATAATGAGGAGTGCCATGTTTTTGTACAATCTGATGGTCATTGACAACAACAATTATTGTGTTTTTATTTAAGCATTAAATTTCTTTAAAAATTAACATCATTAAACTTTCTGAGATTTCACTCACTTCAGCTGTGCAAACTTCACCTGTTCTCTTTTAAAATGTATGTCTTTGATAAAGTATATAATAATAAAGTTTATTCCTGTTCTCTATACAATGCAGATGAGGAGTGCCTGCATTTTCTGCACTAACCCATAAAGACTGCTGATCAGGATTCTGGTCCATTCCTGGTGGACCTAGTAAAGTATGGTGAACAATATGATCAATTTGATGAGCACAAATTACAGAATTAGTAGACTTTACACCATTAAATAATATATTTAAAAAGTAAATAGAATAAGCCTGTCAAGTCCTATTTGGAAATTTGCATCTTTGTTAGGGAGCTACATTCTTATTAATATGAAACCTAACTAATTATGAATAACCACAACCAAATATTTTCCCACCGGTTTCAGAGCTTAAAGTGCTCGGCATTACACAAGGAAACCTTCTCTTTTTTGTTGCAATGGAATGCACACCTCACTTTCATCTTTACTGACACCTAAGACAATCCTTAACTGACAACATTTGGATACTGACACATGGAAATTAGAGTTGAAGTTGAACAATTTTGCAGTGCTTCAAAACTATAGTGTATTTACCAATCTAGAATTTCTATGTGAGCAAAATGCTTTATAAAGCTCATATTTCTATGAATTACAATATAGTTCTAATCATATATATATATACACATATATATATTTGTAAATGCTATTTGAGGTTACATGTACATGAATTCTCAAAGAAGTCCATTGATGGGTATTCCTGCAATGATTAAGTGTTACTCTCTCACTTCTTTTATAAAAAAGAACTCAGTTACTTGTAAACTCTATGGCAATAAAAAGTCATTTGACCAGGACAAAGTGAAGGGTCCTTACCTACAGGGTCTGTGGACGCTCTTTTGGTGCTCTGTGGTCGGTTGATTACTTTTTCGTGCTGCTCAGAAAAGGGAAGCACAGTAAGCGAAGGAAGTTAAACGCTGAAGAACAAGCGCAGTCTCCACCCAAACCTCACCCTTGTTGGCAAGACTCAAGTTGCACACCTTGCAATCTGAGACTGTGTGTGTGTGTGGGGGGGGTGTTCACCAGTAGCTCTCCTGTGTAAGCTCAAAGTACAACAACCCAGATGTTTCAAAAAATTTACACTTAGTCACATTTAAGCATCACCATAGAAACCACATGAAGTCCAAACAAAACTAAAATTGAGGATAATTTAAAAGACACTAGCATAAAACACCCCATGAACTCTATGCCGAAACCATGATAGTTCATAAAATCCATGTATGCCAGGAACTGGGCCTTAACACTCAACTCGGAACTTGGTACCCAGCAGAGACTCAAACAACAGTTTATGTGAATGATATTCATACAGGATACAAGAAACAGTTAAGTTGTTATGCATATATCTTAAAACACATTTTTCAGAACTAATCACATAGTTCATCATTCCTTTTGAAACTACCTGAATAACAATTTGTACACAGTTAATGTGGAAGAGTGAAAAATGACATAGGACAAGAAGCAAAAATGTCTGGTTTTAAACAGCTAATTAGAGGCTGAGAAGCAAAGTTTCTTTGAAGCATTTGACACCTCAATCTCTGTGAAAGATAGTTATTAGGACTGCGTCACAAAATCTTGAACACAGTTCATTACAGCTTCATCTATAATGACAAAAACACAAATGACCAAGATTGTCTTAAAGAAGTGAGCACTACTCCGATTATGGAAGAATACTTACTAAAAAATCAAAGACAAATAATTGCAGGACAAAGAAGGTTAAAAATTGAAAGATGCCACTTTCTAAATAGAAGTGCCATAGACTATTGTGCTAACTGCAAAACTTTTGTTTTGAAAAGTTACGTATTCCAGTTTCTCTGAGATCATGTTCCTAAAATGACATTTTTTTTCAAACATGGGAAAAATTGCTAGTGATTTCTGATAGGTAGGTATCAAGGAGACATGACAATAAAGGGGAATAAAGAGGGCATTGTATCTTGATGGTATGATGGGTATGCCATTCATCAAGCTACAAGGTAGCAGAGAGCTACACACAAACATGTATTGATGTCACCTTCCTGACTTTGACAATATACCACATTTACATGGAGTACAGATGCTAAGGAACATTGGTTGAAGAATAAATAATTCTCTCTACTACCTTTCCAACTTCCTAAAAAATCTATCTTTCCTTCCCCCCCCCCCGTGTGTGTGTGTGTGTGTAATGGGACTGAACCAATGGCAACATGCATACTAGCGAATGTTCTAATACTAAGGTTGAGGTACACTGCCAGCACCCCATTTTTTTTTATTATAAAAACCTATCTCACAGCAATGACAATAAGAACAATAAATGTACCATATGTCAATATGTAGCACACCTTATGTACTTAAAACAATAAGTTTACTGAAGCTGAATATTTGCTTTGTAGCAATGCTTTTCATAGAAGTTCTATGGAAGAATATAAAACAAATTAAGAAGTTTCAATAGAAGGAAATTAATAAATAAATATATATTCAGGTATATTGTATTGTACCACTTAAATCTAAATTAACTTGGATGTAATGACTATATGACAGACCCTTTAAAACTGAAATATAAATGTCAATTTATTTATACTTTTAAATTCAGTTTATATGTGTGTAAACATCTGTGTGTGCTTGTGTGAATGTATACACTCAAACATGTGCAGGGACCCATTGAGGCTTTGGTGTCAGATGCCATGAAGCTAGAGTTGCAGATGTAGGTATCTGCGAACCAACATATGTGGCTGCTGGGATCTGAGCTCTGGTCCTTTTGATTAAGCAGCAAATATTGCTAAATGCTGAGTCATCTTGTCACTGCCATAAACATTGCAACAAAATCTGCCTCCCCATCAATGGCCCTTGCATGGACTAAGCCAATGGCAAGATATAGGTATCAAATTGCTTTCGTTATTTATGTATCAGTAATTTTTTTCCTGCTCCCAAGATATTGTTCTTTGTTCACAGAAGTCTCATAGCATCCTGACACTTGACAATGTTTCTGATGCCTAAATAAAGAGGGGTTTTCACACATATGTGCATCCAGTTTTCCCATAAAAGATACAGTTTAACATTTGGGATTACAATATGATTATATTTCTCTCTTGGATTTCCTCTACCCAAACCCTCGTATATACACTCTTCCCCACTCTCCTTCAAATTCATGACCTCTTCATTCATTAATAGTTACTGCATGTAAATATTTCTATACATACATATTCCTAAATATAACCTCTTCAGTATGTGTAATATTACTTCTGTATGTATACCAAGTGGTCAGTCTTGAAATCATAAGGGATGTTTAATGTCACTTTCCTGGGCTTTACTTGCCCCTCCCCACTCCCTCTTACTGCTTACTGCTCCATCCATTCTCTGCGTGGTGCACAGTTCTTGTCCTTATGCTATTTTGCCTGGAGCATTGCCTTTCAGACTTCCTGGTGTCCAGAACAGCCCCCAAGGCCAGATAGAGTCTTCATGCCCTTATACAGTCTTTGTAATAATCCCAGTGTCCCCATGCCATCCTTTACAGAAACAAACAGCTCCACTTTTATACTTTCTGCTTTTTCATTTTTTTTTCTGCTCAGATGATGTCAACCTTTTACCCCAGCCACATACTTTATCTTTATTAGTAGCCTTTTTGTATGTTAGCTAGTATATTTTGGCATGTTGACTATAATTTCTTCATCACTTTCAATTTTTGTGGCACATGAAGATTGTTGAATAAAACTTTGAAAAAAAATAAAACTTTAAGGTTTCAAAGTTTTTTCTTCAATACACTATTCTCTTACAAAGGAGACTAGCAACACTTATGTGGGGACATTTATCGACGACGACCCTCTTAAAGATATCAGCATACCATAAATAATTTGGATATATACAGGTACATATTTATACTGCTATTTATAAGTCAATTCTCATAAAAAGTCAATAAAAAGAACCAAAACCCAAAATAGCCACTTAGGCTTGAAGTGGGTATGAGTATTGAGTTTTAAGGCTTCTATTATCAGGATTCTAGGCACTGCTGACTATTCTTTCTGCCTAAGAATAATCCTCTTACTGAACTATTCAAGTTTACTAAAGAATTTAGCGGAGCTCAAATCTGTGGGTTGAGTTGCTTCTCTGTGTAATTTTCAACAAACTGACATAGAGTTATCTATTAAGCTCTCTAGTTTTAAGTCCTTTAGCACCTCCCATTTTCCCCCTTGTAGGTCTTTTCACTCTCTCAGAACAAGTCTGATCAGTCTTGGCTTTCCTTGTTATGTTAGTATTTTCTGTGCGTTGGCAATCACAAACTCTTGTACTATTGCAATATATACACATATGCATATGTATATTGATAGATAGATGGTAGATAGATAGATACATGATAGATAGATAGATAGATAGATAGATAGATAGATAGATAGATAGATAGATAGATAGATATCATACTATTTTATAGACCCTAGAGTTAATTCCTCCTAATTGTTGACTGGTTCTGTTAATAGCAATGGAGATTCAGACAGAGAGCCTGTAAAGCCTTTTAAATGCCATGGCTTGGGTCAGTTTAAGTCACCTTTTTTATCACACAAGTTTGGAAAGAACTGGCTGTCATTTTTGCATGTATGAAGCGTTTCTACAGCACTAACATTCTAATAGGTGAGTGTCTGAAGTTCCATCTGTAATTATGATGTAAACAGAGGCTTAGGTAAACAGAAAGCCCATCAGTCAATGTCACCATTACACAGTAACCTCAGAAATAGTGTTCTATCTTGTGTCTCACAGCAGCTCTGCACTAAGCTATTGTGGACCATTTGATCTCTAACAGTGCTTTGATCTGGAAAATACTCAGCATTTCAGTATCAGTTATGACTTACATCCATTGTAACGTGTTTTCAGGGAGCTTATGATGGTGCATTCAGTAGCCAAGCCAACATCACTATAGAAATACATGTGTGAGAATAAAGGAAAAAAACATTGCAGAGGAAGAATAAGCCATTGTGGGCTGGCATTAGGGTGATTTGTTTGGTGACATCATATTATCATTCCACCCTCCAACCTAAATGGTTGAATGTGGGTCATAGTTGAGAACACAGCAAAGATGATGGGGTGACCTAAGCCCAAGTTCTACAACTGGTAAAACACAAAATGAAGCTTTAAAAGGAAAATTAAATCATTTAGACTATTTTGCACACATCTTAAGTGGTTAGGTAGAAACAATGATATAAAACTATGCCTTTGAGACCTGGAGCAATACTCTATTTTAATTATACCTTAGGTGGTAAACTAATTTCAAAGGCATCTAGGAAAATATTGTTGTAATTTGATAAATGCATAAGTAACAAATGATAAATTTGTCTTATTTAGTTTCTAGTGCATTCCAATATGGGGTCTTCCAGAGAAGAATCATTTTTTATCAGATAATTATGCTAGAGATTCCCTGTTCTTTTGAGTATCCTTATACATTGATGCTGTATAGTAGAATGAATAACAGCACTTAATCATGAATATAAACTTACAGGTCCTTATTATAGTGTCTTGTGGTAACAGCTATTTCATCTAGTTCTACCTCACACTCCTCACACTTCAACCATCTTGCCACAGATTTTTTTTTTTGGTAACCAAGTAATTAGTTATGTTACTAAAATACACACAAGTTTATTTTAGCAACAGACAATAGATGAAAGCATGTATCTAACTAGTATCTGTCTGCATATCTTTAGGATATCTTTAATGAACTAGCAATAGACCCAAAATGCATCTAACTAGTACTCGTCTGCATATCTTTAGCTTGGGTTTTTATAAGGCGCTTTAAACAGGCCAGTTCTGGATTTGACTGTTAAGGTAATTTGAATGAGAATGGCTACCATTGGTTTACATATTTGAGTACTTGGTCTTTGATAGCTGTTTGGAAAGTATTAGAAGGTGAGTTCTTGT